CATGAAAGATCTGGGTTATAATCTAAACAGGCGAGAATTTAGAGACGCCATCAAGATTAGATATGGCTGGGAAATCTCCGATCTACCGAAGACCTGCGTATGCGGAGATTTCTTTGACGTTGACCATGCGATGATCTGCAGGAGGGGTGGTTTTGAGATTCAACTTCACAACGAGCTTCGAGTTCTAGAAGCTGACCTGCTACGCATAGTATCTAGTAATGTGGAGGTGAAGCCGATGCTTCAGCAGATAACTGGGGAGACCTTGAATAGGGGTGCGAACAGAGCCCCCGACGCCCGTCTCGACATACACGCCCGAGGTTTCTGGGAGCGACAGAGATCTGCATTCTTTGATGTTCGGGTATGCCACCCAAATGCAGAATCCTACCGTGAAAAGACTCCCGAGCAAATTTACAGGCAGCATGAGAGTGAGAAGAAACTTCAGTATGCCAACAGGGTCATGGAGGTCGAACAAGAAACTTTTACGTCTTTAATATTTCGTACAACAGATGGAATGGGCACAGAATGCAAAATATACCATAAACGTTTAGCTGAGTTAGTATCAAGTAAGAAGGGAGAAAGCTATGCAAGCACCATGTTATGGATTAGAGCCAAGGTGTCATTTGCGCTCATTCGTTCAGCTTTGCTGTGCCTGAGAGGATCACGATCCATCAGAACCCTCGATATCATCAACTTGGACTTCTCCCTTGACTACGCTACCGCCTGCCCAACGTAGTTTTGTGAATTTTACCATGTTATATATATATATATTTTTTTGTTCCTACTTTTTTGTGATTTTATTAAAATTATTATGACTATATTTTAGGGCTAGTGTGATTTTACCTCTTGAACAATAAAGACAAATTTTCATTTTAGCATCGACAATAATGATATTGATGATGATGAAAAGGACTAGATTGTAAATAGGATTTTAATTGAAATCGGAACTACTGTTGGGTGTTTTTTTTATTTTTAACTTGTAAATAGTTATTTGCTTTGAGTGTTAATAAAGTTTGATTTTAATAATTATCATGAATTATTATTATTATTATTATTTTTATAAATGTTATATTATTTTACAGCTTTTAGATGTGGCAGCACTGCAAATTTGTCTAAAGGCACTTGAGCCATCACGAGAGATGTTGCTTTCTCCAGACACACGACGAACTTGGTGTAACAGAGTTTTGTCCATAAGGCCAGTGGTGGAAGACATGATCAGGAAGGAGAGGTTCGGACCTGTCACGGAAAAATGTTCAAACTATGGAGAGGAATCAAAAGTAATGCTTGTTCACTGCAGGTAACGTAACACCCTATTTATCCCCTAAAGGTTGGCTTCGACTGTGGCAAGAACGGAAGCCAACTAAAGGTGCTGACGTAGTTTGGTGTCGATAGGATTTTAAACAATCGTTAGCTCGCTCCAGTCATTTAGCTAAAAGTTTGTTTGAAAAATAACTCAGTCGATCAGCCGTGCATTTATGGCCAGTCAATACATGCACAGTCATTAAAGGGCATTGCAAACGCAAATTATTAATGTTAATTTGTTAAGAAACATTTGAGACCTCTTATACATTAGACCGTTTCAAGCACACGTTATTTTCTAATTGGTGCCAAGGCTGCGTTTGACTACGTACGAGTTGAACTTCTCAGGGCCTTGAGTAGGGATTTTTTCCATTGCAAGAAAAAATTCCACACTGTCTTCGTTAGTACCTTGTTATAGGGTATTTATAGAGGATTCATTTTTAAGAAGACATTAAGAAATCAGCGTAACCTTTAAGGTTTCACTTCTCGCTAAAAGCGGTTATGTTCTTGTTGTGTGGATTAGGTCCATGTGGCAGCGAACAGGAGCCGTCAGACTCTTTGTGGAGCACTTGACTTTGTTCGCCGAAGAAGATGGAAAAGCTAATTCTGAGAACGTAATTAAGCTATGGAAGGTGCGTTTAGTTTAGTGCTGCTGTAACTTACTATAAGTAGTTCTCTTAGAATTTGGAAGTAAACAACGGAAATGCTAAGTCGTAAATTGAAACTCGAGAAATACATCTGTACCCTCTAAAGGTTACTGGTAGAACGGAGAAGACAATCCAGAGGTACGGTAGAAGTTAAGGCTCATTTGAATGAAGTAGTTAATCAAAATAACACAATTGGAAAATCACGGAGAATATCGTAAATATAAAAGAAACACTTATTTTGGACTAGCTCGCAACGATAGCAGATAACGAATTGATAGCGATAGAAGCAACAACCGGTTCAAATGATGAACTTATTATTAAATAAACCTTAACGAACGAAGCATTAACTGATAAAAATAAACCAGAAGAAGACAAAAATGAAAAGCACACAAATTATCTTCTTTCCTTTGAAGGCTTTGGGGGATGAAACAGACTTTTCTTCGCTACGATCGCTGCAGGACTTGGAAAAATTCTTAATCAACTACAGTAAAGACGTCAGGCAGAGGTAAAATAACACAACACTGATAGGGTTATGGTCGTACATACGCCTAGAGGGGCAGAATAAATTATTTTCCCGTTCGTTAGATTATGTGGTATGTGCATAGCTCAACTGCTATGTACTGCATAGGATCTCAGTCTTTGTCAGTCTCAGAGGAAGAGAAAAGTTTAGATTCGTCGTTGGTTTGCCTAGTCATACGGACTTAAGGGATTGCGCATAAATGGTTGTATTTTTCTATATTGCTTCATGCTTTCTCTGTGCCCACAGGACCAATGAAAAGACGGCAACCGAGCTACGCCGCCGATGTAAGGCCTTTTTCATGGAGCTGGTCTCAATATTCTGTTTTGGTGACTCGGTGTCAAAGGACCTTGAACAGGAAGCTATTACTCTACTTATGTGTTATGTTATCGGTCATCAGTCAAGTCAGACAAAGGATTTCTCTCCATTCCCCGATCATGCTATTGACCCCACCCCTGTGGTGCGTTCATTTCTTCTCCAGTTGTTACTACGTTCAAGGTAACTAAGAAAAAATCTTTTTTCTATTAATGTGTTTCTCAGTTGATTAGAAAACCTTATACTTTTCTTTACCTCAGTACATAGCCAAATTGCTGGTATTCTACGATACCTCTTTTCTTTTCCAAGGAAAAAGTATAAACGAGCTTATCCTTTTTTTTTTCTCAAATAGTACAGAGTCGGTGAAAAAACATTTGGAAGATTTCTTGAAAGGGGCTAAGGACTTAAAGCGAGAACCTTCACACATCAAGGAAGTCTGCTTTTTGTATGTTCAGTGCAGGGAAGTACGTGAACTGATAATAATACGTCGTATTTTTTCAAGCGAGCACGGTAGCGAATCTTGACTACATGATGTTCGAGCCTCGAATATGTGTTCGGCATCAGAAACTTTAGGATTGTGCGCCAAAAGCGAGCGTGATCTTTTGGCTTGATCGTATTCACGTGTCAGATCATGATTGGCACTTATAAAAAAATGTTTCAGAGTTTGCTTGAATGCCTTTTTAATCACCTTCATCGTTACGCAAATGAAAATATTCTATGAAGATCTCGGGCACAGATTTTCCCAATAGTGACTTCTCGACTGCTGAATAACATATATGGTCTGTGGATTACTATTAAATGAACAAAAATTAAAGTTACTTTGCATTTACTTATGTTGTACATATCACTTTTAACTGTATTAAATGCATTGCACCATTAAGTCAGTGTTTTCCTCAGATCTTGCTTGCTTTTTCTTCAGGACATATTTGTAAGCCAATATCAATCCAAGGTGGCGGATTGGAAGTTGACATTAAGACTCAAACATGCCACAAAGAAATGTGAAGAGGCAGTCAGAGATCTTACGGCCACTGACGAGGATTCAGCCGAAATGAGCGATGTTTCCCTGGAAGGGGTTGCCAAGGGACGTTACTCCTTATCATTGGTTGTAGAGCTCCTTTATAAGTTGTTTATCGAGGGAGACAGCTACAAGGACGAAAAAGACAAGAGAGAAGTAACGAAGCTATTTGAGTCTGCAAAGAGGCTTTGCAAAGGGTTGTCGTCTTCCACACCACACCTCTATCTGCTTAAACAGCTTGTCAGACGGCATGGCTTGGACTGTGTACGGACCCTGGACGAATATGAGGAATTGGAGTGGATTCTACCTCTAGATGCTCGACAGCAGGTTGAAAACAAGTTATTATAATTGAAATGAAATAATTCAGTGGGCCTGCAGATAACATCTAAGTTAAGCAATGATCCACGCAGGTGAGCTGCAATCTAAAAAATTGTAGAAGGGAAGCCTGAAAAAATTCAGTGTAGAATATCTCTCTTTAACATGTAACGACTAAGGTATTGTTTTATATGACCTTGGATCAAACATGTTGCCTAGAAGTCAAAGTTGTTCTTCGATCTGTAGGAGGAAGTGATCCAAGACAGGTTTCTTGTTCATGGAGACCCTTACTGTGCCGTCCGTGAGGGATTGATCAAAACTGTCATCAGTGGGAACATCCAAGACATCGCCTCTGCCATTACGGTTCGTGTTCATCTACGTTCATGTTTTTAATTAGTGAATAGGTTAAGCTGTAATGTCTAGGGCGTGGGTCATTGAAATCATAAATATGTTAGAGCTCGTTAACACCCTTTTAAATCAATACCATCTAAGAGATTTCTGATAAACGAAGTTGAATGTTATCGACTTATTGAGCTTGGATGAAAAATCTGGTTTGCCTTGACAGCGTCTCAGTAACTGAAACAAACGAAGTTTAACAGCCTACAGTTATTTCAGAAAGTGAAGTGTAATTACATCTTAATCAATGATGGCCCGGTTAACCGTTGGACGTATCTCAATTAAAGTGTCGTGGACGGTATTAATAAGACAATTACAACATATAACAATGTTTCTGCAGGAAACTAGATCACAAGTTGTTTACAAAAATGTACTTCTCCTCCTTGTAATGTACCGTGAAATAACAATGGCAAATATTTCACCAGTTCAGGCACAGAATTTGTCCCAGGAGGTAAGGATCCGTGACGCTTGAGCTTCCTACTTTTTGCAGTAGCTTTGTTCTTTATGCATGTCTGTCTTTGCCGCGCACTAACTCGACACCTTCTTACCTGCTGCATTCATTTATTAGTTTATTTTTTCTTGTTAGATGAGGGAAAAGCTTGATGATTTCTTAACAAATGGAGGATACTTATCTGAAACGGTGAGAAAAAAATTAAAAAAATGCATGGACATTGTCAAAACATCGCTTATTTTTTATTAATTTCGCTGACTTGGATGTAGGCCCAACCTTTCGCCAAAGAACTTCTTTGGAATAATCAAGGTGGACATCTCCAGGAACTTAAAATCTACAATGGTAAAAGCCCACAGGAGCACACCTTGGCCGAAATTGTGATTCACACAGCAGTAGCTTTACAGTGCGTTGGCTCAGGATCCTTGGCTCAACCTCTGTACACCCTCATGACAGATCCAACAACCATGAACGTAAGTGCATTTATATGAATGGCGAAATAATGATATTACACCAACCATGGCGAATTTATATGCATGGGATATACTAAATACTTCTTTTTCGTCTTGGTCTTGGTCTTGGTGTTCGTCCCCCTCTTCGTCTTCTTCCTCTTCTTCTTCTTGTTCTTCCTCTTCTTCTTCCTCTTCTTCTTCCTCTTCTCCTTCCTCTTCTTCCTCTTCTTCTTCCTCTTCTTCTTCTTCTTCCTCCTTTTATTCTTCTTCCTCTTGTTCTTCTTCTTCCTCCTCTTCCTCTTCTTCTTCTTCTTCCTCTTCTTCTTCCTCTTCTTCTTCTTCCTCTTCTTCTTCTTCTTTTTCTTCTTCTTCCTCTTCTTCTTCTTCTTCTTCTTCTTCTTCTTCTTCTTCCTCTTCTTCTTC